TAGCCAGGGCTGGACACAGCCAAAGCCAGGATCTGGGTCTCCCACATGGGTAGCAGGGACCCAACTACTTGAGTGTGCTGTTTCCCAGGGTATACAGCAACAGGAAACTGGAATTGGAAGTGGAGTTGGGATTCAAGCAGCATCTTGAAACTGCTGTGCCGAACATTAGCCCCAGCACACATGTAAATTTTATTGTTTAAAATCCAAAGGTGGGGGGGAACGTTGAACTTAACTAAAATTGTGTTTTAATCAATAACATATGTGCTGGTTGCCCTGGTTTTCCATAAAGATGTTACCTTTGCATTGTAGACGAGGAATGATTTTATATATGATCATTTAGGTAAAATTTGGAGCATGTAAACCCCAAATTCTCATTCTCAAGACTTACTTAAATGATATGTTAAGACTTTTAATTTTTCTAATTTGTTTTTTCCCATTCTGGGTCTATCCCCTATTAATATTAGCAAATATTAATAAGAATTATATTTGAAAGAATAATTTTATTTTGAAATGGGAGATAGGAAAATGCATGCTTCAATAATGTCAGAGTTTCCAGGGGACGATACTGTGAACTTGTTTGTCTAAACACATTGTATTTGGAGTTTGGTATGAATTTTCAATAGATGTTTTGCAGATAAGAAAGCAGCAACTCAAGTGCAATTATATAAACAAGAAGCTCAGAGGGGAATTATGCTGAAGGATATAAAATGAACCAAGAGCTCTCAGTCTGGGTCATCACAGCCTCAGCTCACCAATGCAAAGGTAGGTGTCGCAAATGAGAAGACTCTGTGGAGTGCAGTGTTCTTATTCTGATTATCTTTTACTCTCACCATTTTAGCATTCATTTAACATTGCAAATTCTGAGACATAACTTTGCTTCAATGAGCTCTAAACATTTTTAATTATTTCCCAGATTGTTCATTCGTGTGTGAAGGTGAGTAGAGGATGTACATAAAGATAAGAAAAATTCCACTGCTATAACAGAAGAGAAACAACTGGTCAGTTAACCAAGGAAGGATGACTGATGTGCACGGCTTTCTCCTGTTTGTATTTCAATGAATTTTTATATGCTTTTTGGAAATTTTAGAGTAAATTCAGTTTTGAGTGCCTGTAGGAGTGACATGCTGTGTATCTTTTTAGTTATTTAATAGCTAAATCCCATGGGATAATGTCTAATATATATATACACCTACCTTACTGCATGTTTAAAAAGCTCTCCAGAAAAATACACTACTTTGTGGAAGGTCCAAGATTGTTCATCGGTTTTTTTTCATAGCATACTAAGGAGCTGGAGGAGAAAAGATTGGTGAAGGAAGTTAGCAGAGCAGAGAGAAATGCATTTATTAAAATGAAAAAAGTGAGAGCACAGAGAAGAGAGAAAATGTAGAGAAAAGGGCCAAGGAAAGAACACATCTTTGAATAAGGAAAAACATGGAAGTTGTGAACATTTTAGCCATGTCACTGAAGAAATCATCTCTCATTATTTAGGGCCTACCTGAAATCAAGTCTTCTGTGTTCAGGTGCTCAATAAATGGTTTATGATGATTTTGGAAATGCCATTAAGTTGCAGAGAGAACACAGGTGACAATAAGGAAGAAATTGGCAGATCATACAGGAAGGTATTAACATCAATTTATATGGTGTCACACAGTTAATTTCATTTTCCATGAACTTTCGGAAGTAGTCTCTTAGTATATTGCTCAGTTCCACAAAACTCCAATTAAATCTGAAAGCAGAATTCCTGATTACTGACTCTTTTTTTTTTTTTTTTTTTTTTGACAGGCAGAGTGGATAGTGAGAGAGACAGAGAGAAAGGTCTTCCTTTTGCCGTTGGTTCACCCTCCAATGGCCGCCGTGGCCGGCGCACCACGCTGATCCGAAGGCAGGAGCCAGGTGCTTCTTCTGGTCTCCTGTGGGGTGTAGGGCCCAAGTACTTGGGCCATCCTCCACTGCATTCCTGGGCCACAGTAGAGAGCTGGCCTGGAAGAGGGGCAACCAGGACAGAATCCGGCGCCCCGACCGGGACTAGAACCAGGTGTGCCGGCGCCGCTAGGTGGATTAGCCTAGTCAGCCGCGGCGCCGGCCCTGATTACTGACTCTTAGACTGGGGATCTGACACTAGTGTAGCACATAAACTCAGACTCTGAGTGCTTCAGAGACCCCCATGATCCTCGTTTGGTTCTAAGCCATCCTTTTATAGATGAGGAAGTTTTACTATTTATAATAAAGAAGTAAAGGAGAAAGAGTCATTCATACTTTCTAAGTTCCACACAGTTGTACAGGTACTATGGTTGGTAGTGCAACAATTATAACTTTTGTTGTTTTTAGTTGAGAGTTCTACATTTATTAGAGAAATTTCACAGGAATTAGTGTGTCCATAATGAATAAGGCAACAGTGGGGAAGAAGTTCCAACACAGTTTTTCATCCTACAATTTTATTTTATTTGAGAGGCTGAGAAACAGAAAGAGACTAACAGAGAGAGCAAGAGAGAAGGAGAGGCTGCAAGGGAGCTCCCATCAGCTGGTTCACTCCTCAAATGCCTATGGGAGCTGTCAACTCAGTCCAGGTCTCGCATATGGTAGCAGGAACCAACACCCTCCCGGAGTGTGCCTCAGTAGGAAGCTGGACATGGGGCGCCAGGCGTCCTGACACTGGGCGTGAGCATGCCAAGAGGCATCTTAACTGCTGTACCAAACTTCAGAGTCAGGTGTTCCTCGCTCCTTCTGTGTTGCAGAGGAGTAAGGCACCGGCAGAGGAAAAGCTTCAGTCATTCTCTCATAGATCCATGAGGGAATTCTGTCCCTTGATTTCTGCACCAATATTCTTGCCACTAGGTTACCACACATCTGTTTATGCAGAATCGTAAGCTAGAAATTAAAATATGTAAAGTTAATTATTTTCTGTGGTGAAAACTCAGCGGCTGGCTGTCTACACAGGCAAGAGCTACATGATCCTGATGGGTTAGTTTTAAATCATTTACCCAGTTGCTATTTAAAGATCCTTCAGGGTTACTCTAGGTTTGTGTCTAAGATCATGGAACCTGCTGTACCGTCAAGGGAGCTCACATTTTCGAAGCACCTGAGAAGACCAAGCTCCATGAGTAAGGAATTCCTATGCTGTCCTTCCCTAATTCAAATGCCAAAAACCCACAGGGATGACTGAATATGCAATATTTGTTTTTGAAAGTTTGCTGGAAAATCCTTCTTGCTTTAACCTTTAAAAAAGTCTTCTAAAATGGGTTTGTTCACTTCCTTGTGTATGCAGAAGTAACATAAGGAAATATTTGATCATTGTCTATCTCAGTTTAGACTCCATAGCACTTAGAACAGTCTGTATTTTAATACTTTTTGTTCATAATTAGTTTCTCTACTAGACTGTCAGCTCCTTAGGTCAAGGACTGTATCTTACGCATTTTATGTCTCTCAGTACCTGGCCTATATGCTTACTACATGTGTATCCATTGATCTGCAGTTGTCATTTCCAGGAACAAGAGATTGATTAGCATGTACACTAAACTCTGGGAGTTGGCATTTAAAATAAGTGCCTGTTAACCTGTGTAATGTGGCTTCTAGTTTTCCTTATGAATTTATTGAAGACAAAATTCTGATAAACTGAAAGTCTCTGAGGTTTCAGTAAATGAAGAGTATGCAGCTCATATATGCTGTTGAGCTACATGTGTATATGCATATGACCGGTTTGAGAAGACCTTGATACCTTTTTGATGGACGAGTAAAAATGTTCAGTGAATGGTAATTTATTGAATAGAACAAGGAAGCAAGTTTGTGTTCGCAGATAATACTACTCCATGAAGGTGTGTATTTTCTTTACTGACAAGGAAAAAAAAATCCAAACCTACCTAGCCAGCTGTACAGTATTTGTAAAATGAAAAAAATCTTCTTAATCTTTGAGTTGATAAATTTGCACTGAGAAGTGTGAAATATGATTACCCTCTCTGAGCAGATCTAAAATAACTGTAAGTCATAACATCCAGATCATTATGCTGTCCAATGACTGCTGCACACATTCTCTACCTCATACAGGGCAAAGGTAAAGATGGGCTCCATTAAGGTGCGTGTCCTACTTTCTCCTGGGGCACAGAGGACCCTTTCCATGCAGCAAAACAACATTGGATAGTGTTGGATAACCCATAATGGATCTGTTCTTGACTTCATTATTCTCATTGTGTCAACCTATATTTTTTGTCATTAATCTTTTTGAGATAATGAATTGCATAGACTGTGTAAGGTGATATTTTATTTGTTGCAACTCTACTCTTTCAACCTTGAGGGCATACCCTGAGGGTTCAGAAGGAAGGTTTCTGAGTTTGCCCTCTTAACACCAGTGGTAATTTTAGTTGAACTTTCACGGACCTTCCTTAGCTTCATAATGTCTCCCTTCACAGGCAGTAGGTGGAATTGCATGCCACAGTACAGGTGCTGAGGTAGTACAGGAGTTGGGTTATGCTTTTCTTGGTTTGTATGCTGACTATGACCAAATAGTTTGCTTGCCTTTTAAGCCATTGAACCACAGATATAGAAAAATGTACTTCTGGAAAAACCCTTCCTAAGCCATAATGCTTAGTTCAGTTCTCACAATCCTAAAGGCAATGTCTTCATTATATTTCCACCAAATGAATCATTTTTCATTTAGCTGGATGTACATCCCTGCCATGTTTCTGTTATGGTGTTTCAGGTCTTAATGCTTCCTTGCCCTTTGGAGCTTAGTGGAACTTGCAAGCAGGACTTCCACTCTGTGGGCTCCCATACTATGGGATCACAGCCACATCTACGTTTATAAATGGGGGGTTACTGCAAGTTTTGAGAAGGTCAAAACACCTCATATAGGACAAAGGTAAAGTAGGTGTTCAATAACAGCAGCTCTACTTATTATTGGAGATGTGCAAAAGTTCATGGAAAATGGAACATAAAGGTAATGTGTGTTTCCCACTTTTTGAAGTATCCTATTTGAATGTCCTGAAAGGATATATGTAATAGGTTCTTTAATTTTATCTCTGACTTAGCATGACTGCTATCTTCCTGATGTCCATTCTTTTCGGCCTTGCATGTGGACAAACGATGTCTTTTTGTATTCCAACTGAGTATACAATGCACGTCGACAGGACAGAGTGTGCTTATTGCCTAACCATCAACACCACCATCTGTGCTGGATATTGCATGACACGGGTATGTAGCTCATCAACTTCTTTTAGCTGTAAATTACATAAGCCTAGAAGCAGTCTATGCCTATCTAGAAAGGAAATGAAATACATCACAACCTCATTTCCCAAATCCAGTGGAGGGCACAGGTTACAGTATTATGTGGCTTTTCTTAGAACAATGGGTACAGATAAGTTGATAACAGTGTTACTTCCCTGATTTATTTCAACTCTGTCTTGTTCCCATGATCAAGGATAAAAGGGAGGAGGGTGTCACTTTTGCCTTTATAGGATTCAATGTGGATGTGGTAACTTGGTATTGGGGAATGGGGCCGAGGAATCCTTGCCTCTCATATTTGTGACAAAAGAATATGAATGAGTTGATTTCTATGTATCTCCATTATCTACATGTTTTCTAAAGTCTTATCACATTGTTCTCTTTTCTATTCTTCCCATAGGATATCAATGGCAAGCTGTTTCTTCCCAAATATGCCCTCTCCCAGGATGTTTGTACATATGGAGACTTCATCTACAGGACTGTAGAAATACCAGGGTGCCCACACCATGTCACTCCTTATTTCTCCTATCCTGTTGCTGTAAGCTGTAAGTGTGGCAAGTGTAATACTGACTATAGTGACTGCACACATGAGACCATCAAGACAAACTACTGCACCAAACCTCAGAAGTCCTATCTGGTGGGATTTTCTGTCTGATTTTGATAACGATATAATTTCCAATTTGGCTAAATGTGTTTACCTGGAATAAAACAAATAAAATATCATTATGTTTCACAATACTGTGTGTGTTTTCTGAGTGCCATTTCACACATACTCACACCAATAGGAGCATTAGAGAGCTCAAGCGATTGTTCATTAATTATGATAAACTATTATCCTAATAGGAGACATTAATAAGGGAAGCTGTAGGTGCATTATTGATTGTGACAACTATTTAACACTTAGATGTTAACACTAGGGGAATATGGGTAAGGGGCATATGGGAACTCTTTGCATTGCTTCACAATTTCTGTCCTGTGAATTTAAAACTATTCTAAAATTAAAAGTTAAAATATAAAGTTATACTAAAAAAGTGGCCGGCACCGCGGCTCACTAGGCTAACCCTCTGCCTGAGGTGCCAACACCCTGGGTTCTATGTTGATATGTTGATATTACATATATCATTTCAGGACATTCAACCTGGGTTCAGGTTGGGGCGCCAGTTCTGTCCCGGTTGCTCCTCTTCCAGTCCAGCTCTCTGCTGTGGCCCAGGAGGGCAGTGGAAGATGGCCCAAGTGCTTGGGCCCTGCACCCCATGGGAGACCAGGAGAAGCACCTGGCTCCTGGCTTTGGATCGGTGCAGCACGCCAGCCGTAGCGGCCATTTGGGGGGTGAACCAACAGTAGGAAGACCTTTCTCTCTGTCTCTCCCTCTCACTGTCTAACTCTGCCTGTCAAAAAAAAAAAAAGTTATACTAAAAAAGAAATCTGTTTGTGGTTTTCATATGAAAAGAGTAGAGTAGAGGTGAAATAGACAACAGAAACGATGGGTGCTGATGGATGCCAGACTGGAGGAGACTCTCCTAACAGAGGGCCAGGAGGTTTGTCTTGACGTAGAAACCGAAGGTGGGACCATTTCAGATTTATGAGGAGAATGTAATGGGATCTGAAGCAGAAGGAACACGTGACATCAGGGTACTGCTGGAAACTTGAACTTCCAGAGGCAGGAGCGGGAGTAACATGTGAATCTGCAATGTAATACTTTGTCTTAGTCATCCAAATGCACTGGTAAAAACTCAATAGAATATGGGAATGATCCTCTTTAATTACTCTAATGAGCTAACTGACCTATGAAAGTTATATCCCAAAAGGTCAATTTACAAAGCCTAGAAAAGAGACCACGATCAGTTTACATGTGGAAGTTTAAATCCTTCATAGTGCTTCAAGTAACAGGAGACACTTTGCTTGTGCTGTTTTGGCTTTGGATGTCACAAAAAATCTAGTACAATTATGTAAGCTTTAAAAAAATTAGAACACTAAGGGGTTTCATAGAATAAAATCACTCTAAATTCTCATCTAAACCTCCATCAGTGTTGAAACACTGCTGGTAAACACGCTTGGTAAATGGTTGTTTATTTTTCTTTCTCTTTCTTAGATGCTCTTTTGTGGAAGTCTGATTTCAACAAATGCTTGAAATTAGGCAGAACTTAGGCCCTGCAGACTTTTTCTCAACAAGGCTATCCTCTACTTGTCCATTATTCACCATTCACTCTTTGACCACTAGGGTGAAAATCAACTGTCAGTAGGACCAGTTGGCTTTGCTGTACCCAGCACTCGCTGGGAAAGTCAACTGGGTATCTCGTAAGTGCCTGAGTGCCAACAGTGCCAGGGGTAGGACCATGAGAGGTGCAGACGGTTAGTACAAGCCCATGCTCTGTCAGTGCAAAGGGAGTTTTGCATTTCCATACCAGAGTCAGGAAGCCACATTGTTTTTACCTTAGCATCTGCAGTTGACATTCAAATGGTCTCCAGATATTAATCTGGGGCTTTGGGTTTTCATATTACTTTTGAACATGGACACTTAAAGCTCTATATTGCTTAAAACTATTTATCAAATATAGATCTTCAATTAATGAGTAAATAGTCTAATGTCCCAATCCAATCAGTGGTAGTCAGAAATGACTTCCGTGGATTCTGGGGAAAAAAAAGTCTCAAGGGTTTGAACTGTGGAAAGGCCCAGATGTTTAGAGAGACCCACTGTAAACACGCAGCTCAGAAACACCACTAACTAAGGCTTCCTCAGCATGGAGGTGGGAGGCTGGGCCTGGGCAGGCATGTGGGTCACAGAACCCTAGAGCAGGTGCATCAAAGAGAAGCTTGTTTCCTCCCGCCGAGGACTGTCCACGTGCAATAGATGCACACATTAACCAAATCAACTTGCTCTTGAACAATGGGGTTGTCCAAGACGGAAAATCCTTAAGACGGAGTTCAAGGATAGGGATGACCAACAATTTGCTTCCACTGGGTTTAGGAGCTTGGGAAATGGAAATGCTTTTTTTGGAGGGTCTTGGTGTTCTTTGGGTTTAAGAGAGGGAGAATGAATAAGAGCATTTAGAAATAGGAAGGTTAAGAATCATGGCTTGAGTCATAAAAAGATGGAAACTGGCATATCTGAAGCCAGTCTTAAATTCAACCTAAAATTCAAAGTTGTCAGTTCTTGGTGAGAGAAGTACTCAGTGTTTGTTTGCTTTTTTTCTTTTTTCCAAAAAGGTCTCCTATTCCTCATTTGACGCTGAACTATAAAGAGTTCTTTCATAACCTAGATGGATTTGGGACTAGTATGGCACAATGTCTGCTTTTCTAATGGCCAAACTCTTTAGGAGTGAGTGAGTGTACCAGGATGGATGTATTGGCAGGTAGCAGTATAATTCAGCCTCATAGCAGAAAATTCCAGTAATATGAGCTGTCTTTTAGACATAAAATTACTTTTTTTTTTGAGAACAGCAAGTCTAAGTGCAATAAAATTTATTAACTTCCACTCTAACCTTATTGTTCAGTGTTGAATTCTTCTCCACCCTCTCATCTCCCTTAGTTAATTACTTCTTATCTTTTAAGCAATTGTGTCTCACTTCCTCTGCCGCTGTTCCATTACCTGCTGTCTCTCTCTGAGTGGTGCTTATGTTTCTCCTTCAGGTAGCTGCACCTTGATTTTCCTTCGAGGGTTCTCCTCCCCATCACTGTCAGTCAAGTGTTGTGAGAGGGTTCTGATGAGAGACCTACTACTCAAGCGCCACCAAGCCTGACACCTTAAGGGATGGGAAGAGGGGTTCTTGGCCTCTTGGAGTTCCTAAGCTGATCAAACATGAGCCTGGTACCACTGGTGGACATCTCTGGTACCTCCTAGAACCAGTCAGCCTGAGAATAAAGCCAACTCAGAAGCGAGCAAGACAAAACCCACTACTATCATTTGAGCCCACCTGAAGCTGGCCTCACTCTTAGAGGAAGCCTAACTTTCCTTTTCTGCTTACTGGTTAGAGTTAGATTTCTGACATTTTGTGCTGAAAAACTCTGACTTAATCTACATCTTTTCTACATGTTTCAAATATTCCTGATTCCATTGCTCATCTCTTCCTGGTACTGTGCTGCTTGCTTTCTTTTCCTGCTTCCTTCTTGGATCTTTCTCCTCAGTAAGAAATAGCCTTCAATCTTCTCCTCCTAAAAAACAAACACACACCAAGGTCAAAACAAGCGAACAATCCTTTCTTGACCCTGTGCAATCTCCTAGTTATTTCCCCCCTCTCTTCTTGAGTTCTTATTCCAGGTTCTATGTGAAAGAACCCACTACCCATCTACTTCCTCGCTTCTCATTCTCTTCTCAATCTGCTCCTTTCCTGGCTTCTACCCCGTCCTCCTTTGAAACGGTTTTCAGGAAGGCCGACCATGGCTCACGAATGGTTCAGAACACAGACACCTTTTAGTCCTGATTGACCCCAACCTCTTGCTTCCCAGAGGGCCCAGTGGAGGTCACAGATCTGCATTCATGACACAATACAGCCCTAATGAGAATGAGTTCAACATTTTCCCCTTTTTATTTCTACTTTTTTGCAAGATGACTCAAAAATCTATGCTAAAGTCTTTCACTGGCAACAGTAATGTCAATGTAGGCTGCATTTTGCTTGACAATTTTGTTTGATGTTATAGGGGTGAACAGTCTGGACTTTGTGAAAGATGACCTAGAGCTGTAATAATCCTGCGTGTCCTGTTGATCCTTTAGACGTTGTTGTGTTGCATATGAGAAATTTGAATTTGTATTGATTCAGCCTTGGCTATACTAAAGAATCATATCATACCCATTTCAGTTAAAGACAGTTTAGGTAACATTTACTGAAGGAAATAGGCAGCTAAGACAGACTCTCCACTCTGAGATTAAGAAATGGGTGGGGAGTGAAGAACTGTGGTGGTCTTTTCACTCTTGGGAGTAGAGGATTCTAATTTCTTTTAATGTTCTGAATTTAATCGTGAGAGGTGGTTCATCTTGGTCAAAATTGGGCACTAATACTTTCATGTTGAACATTCCTGAGCTATAGTCACTTTTTCTTTTTTTAATTTGAGGGGGAGGAGTGAGGGAGGGAGGGAGAGAGAGAAAAGAGAAGAGAGGGAGAGAGAGAGAAGTACTTCGATCTGCAGGTTCACTTTCTAAATGCCCAACAGGGCTGGGAATGGGCTGAGAGTGAGCTGAACTGGGCCAAAGCCAGGAACCAGAACTCAATCCAGATCTCTCACATAAATCAATTGCTTGAAACATCACTGCTGACTCCCAGCATCTGCAGTGGCAAGAAGATGGATCCAGGAGCCACAGCCAGATATCAAATCCAAATACTTAAATATGGATGCTGGTAGTTTAACTGGTGTCTTAAGTACTTGGCTAAATGCCCAACCCTTAGCTATAGGTTTAGTCTGGACTTCTTTCCCAAGCTTCAGGGCCAAGTACTGAATGTTTATATTTCCTCTTAGATGTCCTATAGTGATTGGCAACTTGCGCCATCATTACAACCTGCTTTTCTTCCTAAGTACCATTGTTTTCAAGCTGCCAAGTCAGAAATCTAGGAATTGTTCTAGGTTCTTCTCTTTCCCTCATCTCTCACATCCAGTTTCTCTTAAGCTGCTCTATTTCTAGGTATGGCTTCCAGTTCATTAGTTAGAAATCCTCATGACTCTGGTTTTGGCCATCCAATCTTGATTCATAACTGAGCTTGGGTAATTTTTCAAAGGTTCTAATTGGATTTTGTAGCTCCCAGTTTAACATTTTCCCCATGACTTCAG